TATATATATATATATACATATATATGATATATATATATCTTATCCCCCATTTATTTTTTAAAGCATTTTCAGTATCATCAGATTGATGAATGCTTTGTTTATACTTTGGGTTATAAGCCAATACTATGTTATTCTTTACTGGAATGGCTCTTTGGCAGCGGGAACTGTTTAAGGTAGATTCCTGTAATGAGGCTGGCTCTAATTTTTGATGTTTGATGGATAACAGTTTATAAACCACAAAATCTCAACAAACTTGTTAGTAAGCTTGTACCTTCAATCTCAGTAAGCTGGTCATAAAGTCTGAACTCTCTCTTTTAGCACTGATAGAATGGGCAGGCCAGGAGAGCCTGTGAGAACTCTCCACCTAGCACAAAACCCAAAGGACAGAAAAAACAAAACAAAACATTGAACCAGTATTTTATTGCTCCTTCTTGAGCTATTTTGTGCCTATTTGGCCAGGCCTGTGCTACACACTTACTGCATAATAAACCGTGCCCCACTCTCTTTGTGCACACACGACATCATCAGTCTCAATACCTGAGCCCACAGTTCGGTGCTGGTCCTCTGTAGACCACTTCATAATCCCTATGTCCCTCAACATGGCATGCTGAACTTTCTTGCATTTTCTCTTCTATTTTGCTTCTTTGAGATTTTGTTTGTGTGGTGTTATTTATAATTAAATTCTAATATGCAAGAATATAAAATTAAAATTGAAGCACAAGAAGCATAAATACAAATAATATTTTGTATTTTAGTTGGTAAGATTTTCACTCCAGAAAACTAAACTTATTTAAATTAAGTCTCAGCATTGGAATTATTCCAGAAATACTATTACCATCATGCAAGTTCATTTTAGTTACTGAAAGTTTGGCCATGATCAAAAATCTTCAGAAAACAAACAATAATAATAACAACAAAAATTTTAACATAGGTTATACTAACACACTTTCCAGTAAACTATTGCAGATTCTTCATATATCCCCATTTTTTTAATGGAATACTATGTCTGCTAATATCTCCTCAACTTTGTTCCAGGTCTAAGGGTGTTATCCATTAACAAAAATTAGCAAAAATCAAGTTAGTAACAAATCTGATCAAATATTGTTATGGGGTGAAATATCAGTATGTTTTTATGTATTATTTCATAATTGATTCACAATAATCTTAAGAACCAGTTTTTGTGCCTAAATTTGATACATGAGAAAGCTAAGCTATAACTGTTTCAATACTTATTCCAAGGGTGATGACGATAGCTGTCAAACCTGTCACTTCATGTTTGTTTGACCACAGTGCCTGAGTTTTTCTACTAACTTCACTATACTGACTTCCCATAAAATCAAGTTTGAATTAGCCTTTAATCAATAGTACATTGATAGCAGTTTACAACGAATGAAATTATTTTTCTTGAATGGTTCAGAATGAATTTTTTGCAACATGAAAATTGGCACACATTTTTAACAATCCATATCAGTCACAAAACCAGTATTATTCCCTATGTTATTTTTAAAAATAGTTTAAAAGATCATCTTCAGGCACATCTGTCTTTTTACCTGCCCCATTGCTCTGTCTCTTTGCAAAGAGGTCAGCATTTTCTCCTTCAGTAAAGTGTGGTGTTTCTCATGTAACACTCTTATCGTTGGCTCATAAGATGCATAATGTAACTTCAACCTATGAAAACAAAAGGGTAATCACATCTTAGAGGACAATTGAGTTAAATCTGTGATTTCCATCTAGCATCTAAACCATCTTGGTTTTGTGTTTTGCTTGTATTCTGGTCTTGGTGTAACAAATGAATAACCAAATAAAAGCCAATACATCAGAAGAAGTACACATGGTATTATATGACCAAAGCGGTCTGCTACTGAGAGAGTGGGGAGAAGACCACATGAGTCCTGATTTAATGAGTTCTTCATTTCTTACTAACAACTGCTGTATTCAAGCTTGTGCTTAGAAGATAACTGCTATTCATTGATTTTTTTTAAAGTTGCAGTTCCTTTAATCGATGCAGAAAAATATTTCAAAACAATACGGGTTACAAACGATGGATAGTTAAACAGAAGAGTGTCATTCGCAGTTAAAGAATGGTCTGAAAACTAATTTGATTAACCTTATATTTTGAGAAGTTAACTATAAAGTAGTTCAGATATCTCATAAAAGAAATAATTAAAGATATAGTATTAGCATATGTTATCAACACATTTAAAATGTATTTTATTTAAAAATTCCTTTAATGATATTTTGTATTGAAGTATATTTTATATGGACTACAGATCTTAAATGTTGCAGCTCAAAAATTTTTGTGAAATATATCGATCCAAGTAAACTACATTGTTATCAAAATTTACAAGTTTGCTAACGTCCCAGAATATTCTAAAACTTCATATATTTGAAATCATTCTCTTTGGAATTAGTTTCTTTTAATCAGCATACATTTTTAAAATTCATATTACAGTTGAGGTTATCAATACTACATTCCTTTTTATTGTGAACAGTAATATCTTGTATAAAAATCTTACAATGTGTTTAGCCAATATAGTATTATTGAACATCTCAAGTGCTTTCATTTGGAACCTATAATGAATAAGATTGCTATGAGCAGCCTGGTATAACTATACCTTTGGTCTTATATCTTCATGTGTCTTAGGCGAGTACCTGAGAGTTGATTATTCGGTTGTAATCTTTACTCAAAACAGCGATATAAAATAGTTTTGGCTACTCTATCTCCTTGCAATATTTGAAGATGGCCAGTCTAGTTAGAGTTTATTAATTGTATCATCTTTTCAAAAGAACCAACACTAGAATTTACCAGCTTATTGTTTTTCTATTATCTATTTTATAAGTTTGTACTTTTAGTCGTAACTTTATTCCTTCTTATATTGAATTTTCAATTTTTTAATTTCTAAGGTGATATTAAGTTAAGGTCAAAGGTGAAATAGTAGGTGTTTACAAACTTTTTCTCTTCTAATATAAGATATTAAAGCTATGCATTTTATAATACACATTATTTTGGCTGTGTTCCACAAGTGTGACTTTGCTGCATTTCATTCATTCTGTTAAAAATGTTTTCTAATTTCTCTCTTCAACCTATGAATTATTTAGAAATATATTACATAACTCTGAAAATTGTGGTTATTTCCAGGGATTTTGTTATTAATTTCTAATTTAATTTGGTTGCGTCAATCCTTTAAAATATATGCGGATTTATCCTCTTCTTGTTGCTAGGTGTCATTGAGTTATTTCCAACCCCTGGCAACCCTAAGCACAACAGAACAAAACACTGCTCGGTCCTGCGCCCTGCTCACAATTGTTCCTGTGCCTGAGCCCATTGCTGCAGACACTGTGTCAGTCACCTCCTGGAGGGCTTTCCTCTTTTTCATTACCCCTCAACTTTACCAAGCACAATATCCCTATCTTATCTTATGGTCCCCGTACAATCTATTATGGTGAAGTTCCATAGGTCCTTGAAAATGCCAAATAGAATTTAAGAAATGCCAACTAGGCTTAAATGATAATGTTGTTCAAATGTTCCACAGACTTAAAGAATTTATGCCCACTTAATTTATCAATTAAGAGAGTTAAAAGCCTCCAACTACAATTATGGAAATATCCATTTTATTATTTCAATTTTTCAGATCTTACTTTATATATTTTGAAACTCATGCATATTTAATATTATGTCTTTCTAATACATTGACCCTTTTATCAATATGAAATGGTTCCTTTTTTGCTCTAGTAATATCAGTCCTGAAGTCTAATTTACTTGGTATTAATATGGCTACCAAAGCTGTCTTATAATTAGGCTAATATGATATTTCTTAAAAAGTGTCGCTCTTCTACCGATTGGGGAGAGGGACTGGCATGCCACGCCTACACAAAAGCAAACCAAAAAGGAAAAGATGGAGTGAGGCACACCTAGCCTGAGGACAGACGTCCCTGCACAGAGCTGGTAAGTCACAGAGAGGGCTGTAAGGCCGACAACAGCTCGAGACATGATGACCCCTCACTGGAGCACACCACAACAGAGGACAATACTAAGGATACACAGCAGGGGCTTAGTCCAGTCTGAACCCCGAGAGCCGGGTAAACCAAGAAGGGAACACAACAGATCAGCAATGGGAGCAAAGCAAAGCCACAAATCTCCTGAGGAGCCCCAAAAATAGACTTCAGGCTAGAGGGGGCAGTTCCCAGAATTCCCCCAGGAGCAGTAGAGAGAGAGTCATATATGTCAGTGGACGGACCTGGAACTATGTATGCTTTTTTGGTTTTGTTTTGCTTTGTTTTTCCTAGTTATTATTGCCTTTTTCTTTCTTTTTTCTCTTTTTATTCGATCTTTTGTTTTCTTTTTGTTTTGTCTCCATTATTGTTGGTTTTGTCTACCTATATAAGAAAGACATGGGAAGCAAGCTTGAGGAGAAACCAACAGGACTGACAATTCCAGAGGGAGTTGGGATGAGGAGTGGGAGGGAGAGGGACCCTGTGAGCAAACAATGCCATAGACAGGGGAACAACTAGGGAATTAAAATCGCAATCAGGAGGACATAGAGATGCTGGGGGTATTGGAGCGACAGCAATCTAGCTGAGAGTAATTACTAACAGGCAGAAGAAGAACAAGCATGATGGTGGGGCAGGAGGAAGGTAAAAAGAAAAAAACAACAGAGGAAATAGCTAGTAAGCAAAGCTATGGATAGATATATAAACATAGGTGTGTACATATGCAAATACATTAATTCATAAAAATAGAGGTATTGGCCTATATGCATGTATTTATATGGCAATACACTGAGGTCATGAATGGACTTTGAGCCTCAACTCAAGCCCTGCCTCAACATAAAGCCACTAATTCTGACAACCTGGGATACTGTGACCCCCCTCTAGCCTGAAGACAAAATGAGTACATAAGCAAATGTGGTGAAGAAAGCTGATAGTGCCCGGCTATCAAAAGATATAGCACCTGAGGTCTTAAAGGCTTGATGTTAAATAAGCAGCCATCTAGCAGAGAAGAAACAAGCCCACATGAAAGAAGGACATCTGCCTGTGTGATCATGAGGTGTTGAAAGGATTGCGTAACAAGCATCAAAAGACCCAAAACAAACAAAAACATATTGTTGAGTGAGGGATTATAAAGAGACTTTTCCCCAGCTTTGTCTCCCCCAAAAGACATGCCAAACATTAGAGTATATTTGTCAGCATATGGTGGGAGGTCAGATGCTTAGAGACATCCTCCCTGAAGGCATTCAGTTGCCAGAATACTGTCTGGTCCCAATACAAGAAGGGCCCACTCCTTTCTGTTAAGGACAATGGGCTACTTCTCCCTAAAGGCTTAGGACCACCAGTGTGGTCCCTGTAGGTGGGGTTCACATCCTACTGATAATGGTTTCAAGAGAGAGCCTGAGAATAGGTCAAACCTGCTTGGTGACATCCAAAATTAAGCTGCCTCCCTGAATCCAGCATCTGCCCATCTTGTCACATGTGAACCCCAATACCTCCCCTTCTTATTGCATGGATACCCCTGGAGAGTCCCCCTCTCATTACTGTAGTATCTATAGCACAACCCCTTCCTGTGACGTACGTCTTTACCTGTAATTAGGGAGCTTGTATGCCCCCCAAAGATATATAAGCCTTGGTTGGCGATAAAAGTGCTCTCTCTCACTCTCTCTCTCCACATGGTCCACCAAATGAGGCTGAGGTGAGCACAGTACCATGAAATGTGTCTAACTCCATTATTTCAATCTCTCTTCTCGCATGCTCCCTATGACTTTACTATAGTCTTTACTTATTACCACTGTAAAATTGTACCTACCAGACCTGTGATGATGTGTTAGGGGCTGGCTCCCTTGACAGTTGAGAATGAGGGGGGTCGGAGCAGAAAGTCAAAACCCATCTGTAGAAAATGGGACATCCCCTCACAAGAGGGTCACAAGGCTGGGATGTCAACCAGGGTGCAGTATAGCACCAATGAAGCATACAATATTCCTCTGATTCTTTAAGGCTTCCTCACCCACCACTATCATGACCCAGTCTTGCCTTTCACTGCCAGCTAGACCAGAGCATGTACACAGGTACAGAAAGAACTCAGGACACACGGAATCTCGAAACAGTAGTGGGAGTAGTGATACCAGAAGAGTAGGGGGAAGGTGGGGAGAAAAGAGGAGGAAGGGGGAACCAATCACAATGATTGATATATAACCACCACCACCCCAGGGAGATGAACAACAGAAACTTTGGGGGAAGGGAGACAGTGGTTGGTGTAAGATATGATAATAAGAATAATTTATCATTTATCATGGGAGGAGAGGAAGGAGGGTAAAAAGAGGAGCTGATACCAAGGGCTCAAATAAAAAATAAATGTTTAGAAAATGATGGCAACATATGTACAAATATGTTTTATATAATTGGTGTATGGATTGTTATAAGAGCTATAAAAGCTCCCAATAAAATGTTTTAGTTTTTTTTAAAAAATAGTGTTGCTCTTAAAAACAATAAGGTCAGTGTTTCAAACTCACCAGCCACTCTACAGAAAAAGCTAATCCCCTAATGATTTACAACCTCTGAAACTTTATCTACTTCACTATGAGTATAAATCAACTTGATGGCATTAAATTTCAGGTTTCTTAATTGACTTATCTTGCACCAATTTTTTTTTACTTATGGAAGATCAGAGAGAGAGA